ACATGTAGCATTGTTTGCAAAGAAAAAATAAAAGTTTAACCAATATAAACAGGCAAAGGCAGGATGCCCCTCCTCCTTATTATTTGACATAGTTTTAGAAATTATAGCAATAGGAGTAAGAAAAGCCAGCAAAATTAAAGTTATAATATCGGCAAAGAGGAGACAAAATTATTGTGATTTGGACTTTGTTAAGTCAGTTCACCAATTATTGGCTATATGCAAATAATACCTCTATGATTACCTTTACATACAATAGTCTTCCCTCCCCCACCTTTAAATAATTCCCTTTTGGAATAGCAATCTCTGGATCAAAAGGTATGGACTACTTAGTAACTTTTCTTGTATAATTCCCAATTTTTTTCAAGAACAGTTTAATGTGTTAAAAGTACTCCCAAGCAGTGAATTAGTATGTCTGTTTTTTTTTTCACAATCTGAATGAGAATAAACTGGTTTACCTTTTAACTTTAGCAAAGTTGAAGGATACAAAAAAAAACTCACATGAATCATCAGCATTTCTATATATTAGCAACAAAGCCCAGCACCGAAAGACAGAAAGAGAAATTCTACTTAAAATAATTGTAAACAATATAAAATACTTGAGAGTCTACCTGCCAAGGTAAAGTCAGGAACTGTATGAACACAATTACAAAATACTTTTTCAACAAATAAATTCAGATCTAAACAATTGGAAAAATTTCAATTGCTCATGGTTTGGCTGAGCAATTATAATAAAAATGACAATTCTGCCTAAATTTATTTATTCAGTGCCATATCAAACTACCAAAAATATTTTATAAAGCTATAAAAATGACAAAATTCATCCAGAAGAAAAAAAAGTCAAGAATATCAGGGAAATTAATGAAAAAAAGCAAAGGAAGGTGGCCTAGCTGTGCCAGATCTCAAACTATATTGTGAAGTGATAATCAACAAAAGTATCTAGTAGGTTAAGAAATAGTATGGTGGATCAGTAAAATACATTAGGTACACAACACATTATAGTAAATGACCATAATAAACTAGTGTGTGATAAACCCAAATCCCAGCTTCTGGGATAAAAACTCAATATATGACAAAAACTGCTGGGAAAACTGGAAATCAATATGGCAGAAGCCAGGTATAGACCAACATCTTACATTGTATACCAAGATAAGGTCAAAATGGGTACATGATTTAGACATAAATAGTGATAGCATAAGAAAATTAGGAGAGTAAGGAATAGTTTACCTGTCAAGATCTATGGAGAAGGGAAAATTTATGACCAAACAAGAGACAGAGAACATTACAAAACATAAAATGGATAATTTCTATTTTTAAATTAAAAAGTCTTTGCACAAACAAAACCAGTGCAACTAAGATTAGAAGGAAAGAAGAAAGCTCAGAAACAATCGTTATAACAAATGTCTCTGATAAAAGCCTCATCTCTCAAATATATAGAGAACTGAGTCAAATTTATAAAAATACAAGCCATTCCACAAGTGATAACTGGTTAAAGGATATGAACAGGCAGTTTTCAGAAGAAGAAATCAAAGCTATCCACAGTCATATGAAAAAAATGCTCCAAATCACTATTGATTAGAGAAATGCAAATTAAAACAACTCTGAAATACCACCCCTAACCTGTCAAATTGGCTAATATGACAGAAAAGGAAAATGACAAATATTGGAGGGGATGTTAGAAAATTGGGACACTAATGCATTATTGATGGAGTTGTGAACTGGTCCATCCATTCTGGAGAACAATTTAGAACTATGTCAAAAGGGCAACGAAACCTTGCATACCCTTGGATCTGCCAATACCACTACTTGTTCTGTATCCCAAAGAGATCATAAGAAAAGGAAAAGGATCTGGATGCACAAAAATATTCATAGCAGCTCTTTTTGTGGTGGCAAAGAATTAGAAAGTAAGAAAATGACCATCGATTGGGAAATTGTTGAACCAGTTGTGGTATATGAATGTAATGGAATACTATTGTGCTGTAAGAAATGATGAGCAATTGGATTTCAGAAAATCTGGAAATATTTTTCTGAATTGATGCAAAGTGAAGTGAGAAGAACCAGGGAAACATCGTACACAGTATAAGCAATGTTGAATTATTAACGATTTAACTCTTCTCAGCAATACGCTGATCTAAGACAATTCCAAAGGACTCATGACAGAGAATGCTATCCATAACCAGAGAAAAAACTGATGGACACTGAATGCAGATAGAAGCATACAACTGTCTCTTTTTAAATTTTTTCATGAGTTTTTTTCTTTTGGCTTGTTTCTTCTTTCACAGTATGACTCATATGAAAATATGTTTTACATAATTGCACATATATAACATATCAAATGGCTTACTGTCTTAGGAAGGAGGGATGTGAAGGACGAAGGGAGAAAATAAGGAACCCAAAATTTTTTAAATGAATGTTAACAATCGTCTTTACATGTAATTGGGAAAAATAAAATACTAATACTATTTTTAAAAAAAGAGAGAGTGACAGGAGAGAAAGTGGAAGCATTTATTATAGGTGGCCGTTTCAAGGAGTCTGACCCCAAAGAGCAAAAAAGTATCAGACAATAGAAGAGATAGAAGGATCAAATGAGAGGTTTTTGGTTTGGTTTTTTTTTTTGGTTTGGGAGAAACATGAGCATGTTTGTAGGCAGTAGGGAAGTAGCCAGTAGACAGAGGGAGATTGAAAATGAGTGATAGAATGGGGATAAAGGAGAGCAGTTACTTCATCACTTGAGACAAAGGTGAAGGAGGAGACAGTGACAGAAGGTATTTGAGTGACATAAGTTGAGAAAATGGGGAGAAAAGAGAATCCACAACAAATGTCTTCAATGTTTTCTGTAAAATATGAGGAAAGGCTGTCAGTGGAGGAGGTAAGGGAGGTAGGAGACATGGGAAGTATGAGAGAAGCCATTATGGAAATTAGAATAATGAGTTGGTAAGTATAGTAGGATTGATAACTATAGCAGGATTGGTATAGGTGGGTGTAGTAGGATTGACTAGCAGAAGTAAGGGCTCACTTGAGGTTATGTAATTAACTCAACCAGCCAGAATGGTTATGTGACTTTCTGTACCTTTCAGCAGCACCTGTGCAGGAACCAAGGTGGCGAATGGTGGGAGCAATTCAAGGCTATGGCTTGGCAGGGCAAAATCAATGATATGATAAGGGGCTAAGGAATCAAGAGAAGATAACAACTTAGAGTTGAATTGATTCACAAAGGGTTCAAGGTAGGGAAAAGTGTAATATCTAGTGCAGGAAAGATGTCTAAGAGAGAACTGAGGGACTGGGGAGGGTGGTCATGGTATAGATATAGAGTATGGTTTGGTAAGGGAAGAAAGATAGGTTAAAGTTAAAAAATTATGGTCAGATAAGAGGATTTTGGATTCTTAAACGTAGAGGTGGTGTATTTGTGGGTAATGGCAGGATCAAGGACGTGACCATATTTGTGTGTGGCTGAGTTGGAGTGGATCAGTAGCTCAAGGTAATAGAGATTTGGGTTTACTGGTTTCCATTTCTAGATTCTCCCCCTATCTCTGTCACTCAGTAACTACTCTTCCATTGAGGTCCATGCTACTTAGATCAGTGAGCCATGGGGAATGGATGAAGATATTGCCAGTATTGAAAAGGGTGGTCAGATAGGCTGTGCTATCATGGGGAGCCAGGTTTCAGTGACTGTTAAAAGATGGGAGTGGCAGATGAAATGATTAAGAATAAAGGGAAGTTTATTGCCTAAAGAATAGGTATTCCAGAGGGCACAGTGGAAACAGTAGATGCAGTTTGGTTAGGATTTGGGATGTTAAAGTTGAGGGAAATGGGAAGAAGGAATCAGGAGGTGGGGAGGGTAGGAACGGAGTTTGGGTAATGACAATACAAGGGTTCAGAATCACTGGGATGAATAAAGTGTAACCAGGTGAGAAAATGTCAGACTACATCTGGAATACTGTCTTCAATTTCAGGTACTACATTTTAGGGAGGAAATTGATAAGCAAGACAGTGTCCAAGAGAGGGGAAACCAGAGTGGTAAAGGGCTTCAAGAGCATGCCATATGAGAACTGGCTAAAGTCACTGATTTTTAGCCTAAAGAAGACCTAGTTAAAAAAAGACAGTGTAAGATCATTGTCTTTGTTTTGAATTATCTCAGATAGAAAGAGATTAGTTGTCTTCTCTTTGGCCAAAGAGAGCAGAAATAGGAATAACGGTTGGCAGTTGTAGAAAGTTAGTATTCAGTCATTTGGGGGCATTTATGACTCTTCATGACAATACTGTATTGACAATACTCTATTTCAGTCATAAATGAAAGGATTGGCAACACTAAATCCACTTCCTTTTGATTGTTTCCCTATATATTATTATTAATGAATATATTGTCAATTAACACACATTTTCTTCAAAAATCATCACTGACTTGGAAATTAAGTTTCCCCTGATTCAACCTAGGCTATCTCTACATGCTACTCCCTGCCACCATCCTTTCTTTCCCTTCACCTCCCTAAGTCTTTCTTACCTCACACCTTCATCTTGAGCTTCATCCTTGGGAAGTCAGTAACTGAAAGCTGAACTTTCATCTTTTCTTGCCCAGAATGAAGCCTCAGTGCTTCCTTCATTTTCAGAGAGGGCAGATTTTATGTTAATTGATTGTATTTGTGTTTCCAGTGCTCAACACAGTGCCTGGCAAATAGTAAGTGCTTATTAAATGCATTCTCTTCTCTCACTCTCTCTCTCTTTCTCTCTCTCTCTCTCTCTCTCTCTCTCTCTCTCTCTCTCTCTCTCAAAGATTGCTAAGTGCTACATAAACTGAAGTATATTTCTCTTGTTCTTTGGAGTAATTATTTAAAGTAGTTTTTTGAGTCTAATATGATCTTCCAATGAAATTTGTTACTTGGATTTGGTCTAGACTAAGACTATCCATGACTATATGCATCATATATATTTCAAATGCATGACATGTCCCATGACTATGAAACAATATCCTAAATGAAGACGTCACACGGTTTAAATTTTCATACCTGGTCTAGATGCAATTCTTTGTGTGGATTCAGGATATACTGAAGTGTTTGGGAAAATAAAAGTGGCCCCTCCTGCAGGCAAAAGGAAAGAAAAAATGTATGATTTTTTAAAAAAATTATCAAGGTCAGATCTTCTTTAAACAGCCACAATAGACAAGGATAAATGTACATCTCCATGAGCCATGAAGAGATTCCAAAAGGAAGAAATTCTCAATTTTCATATATTACACTATTTACAGTATGCTTTTTGTTTTAACTTTATAATTTCCTGACATAACCATTATCAATAAGTGAAATAGGTAGAAACTTATCCAAAGTATGCAAACACTTGTAAAACATTATGTAGTATCCTTGATAGTTATTTTAAAAGAATTACAAATGTTTTACATAAATGTATTAAAAATTAATTCAAGTGTCCAACAAAATGTGAACATGATGGGGATTTTCCCCCTCTTTCTTCTGTTTGCTTGATGCTGCAAAGCAAGCAAAATAACTTAGGATTCAGTGCATCCAGGCTAGAATTTTGTTTGTCAAAAGTTTTTAGACCTGGCTCCTTCAACAGTTTCTACATTTAGCTATATTCAAGATTATAAAATCACAGATAACTTGAAATTGTCACTTACCTTGCAATGGCTTTAAAGAAAACTTAAAAATTATGAAACCATATGGAAAAGAGAAAGATTTTTGGCCCCCACAGGTCTCTCTCTCTCTCTGTTTAGGAGGAAAATGGCCATTTCTTATTTATTTGTGATTTCTAGCCATTAATAGGCTCAAGAGTAATATATACACTTAAAATATTATTTCACCATCTAATAGGTTTCTATTTTTTCATTCCATAGAAGCATAGCACTTAGGGTCCTGGAAACAAAGCAAAAAATCAAAATTCAAACAAAACCAAAAAGATTAGTTTCTAAATGATGACTTTTTCTTTACCTTAATGGCCCAGGAAACAAATTGAAGTAGGTTTCAGGATATGCATGTGTACACAAATACACATGTGTATTTATTCATGGATATATTACGGGCATTTAAATTATTATACATTTTCATGCAAAATATTTTTGTTTACTTGTTGATTTCTATGACTACTTATGTCATATCAGCTCTCATGGATTACATTCACAGAACAACCAGTTTTAGATAGCTTATTGAGTTTAACGGGTACCTCATTAACAAATTTCATTGCTATACATATATGTGTACATGTACCTATATATATTTACATGTATAAATATGCATATATACACAAAAGAACAATGCACGCTAACACTACACATACAAATGGATTGAAGGGTAAAGAATTAGCTAAGACAAAGCATGATGTAAAATTTTTTTTCATTAGAGCTTTGTTAGATTCGGATGTATGATATTAGTGTCAACAATACATTGTACATTTAGTCAGAAGTGAATTGTTCAATATATACCAAAATTTCTCTTAAAATGACATAATTTTTAAAATTGTCTTTCACATATTCATTTAATCTGAGGTTGGCAGAAATCAAAAGGGAAAATAAAATGCCAGCTTAATACATCTAATGATCCTTTTAGAACAAAGAGGATGTGGAAAGAGGGGAGTGGTAACCGATTTCTAAAAATGAATTTAAGATGGTTCAGACATGCTTTTCATTCTATATAGATCAGCACATAGAATAAGTCCATATATATTATATACTATATGTAATATATATATTATACCTTGATCATTATCCAGCATGTCTGACCTGAGAATAATTCCACATTTCTAATTAATCTTTTGGTTAAAACTGTCATTGTGTCCCCCTACCTACTTCCATCTCTCCCCTGCCCCTGGAAGGCACTTAGAAATTTTAAAGCACTTTTTCTTCATTCAGATAAATGTATGAAGTCTCTATCATTGGAGAAGAGCCTGGCCTCTATTCATTAAGGAAAACCATAACCCCAAAAGTTCTGTCTCTACTATGCAGACTGAGCATGTCCTCTTTTTTTAAAAAGCAACAAGAATCCTATGTTTAAAAAAAATTAGGATATTTTTAAGAGATGGGAACAAGGCCAGCATTACCTGTGTTTCTAGCATGCATCAACCGTGGAGAGTTTTGTAAGGCTTTATCAACATCATCTGAAGTCAAATGTGGAAGAGGAGCTACAAGACAAAACAAAAGTAATGTTAAAATAAAAAAATATTGAGAATAATCTTTAAAAAGTCAATTTTTCTTTCGCATCTAGATGTTACTTTTAGGAAGATGTCCTATTTTTTGCTAGTATGTTGTTGTTGTTTAATTGCTGAGTCATGTCTATCTCTTCATAGTCCTGTGGACCAACTGTCTATGGGTTTGTTTGGTTTTTTTTGGTGAGGATACTGGAATGGTTTGCTACTTCCTTCTCCAGTTTTATGCAGGCAGCAGTTAAGTGACTTACCCAGGGTCACATAGCTAGTAAATGTCTAAAATTTGAACTATGGCCTTTTTGACTCCAAGCTCAATATTCTTATCCCCTATGCCTGTCAGCATACGAAACTATCTTAATTCAAGGAATAAATAAATCTGATCATAGGCAAAGCAATTGTGGAGAAACAACTTGCTGCACTATCAGTCCCTCCTCCCCTTTAAATCTGCTTTCTACTTTTAAAATTAAAAGTCTCAATCTGTTAGTCTTTTGATCACTAATTTGATCACTAATATCCTTCCTTTCACTTTTCATGTAAGTAAATCTAAATTTCATGATTTCTGATTCTGCCAATAATTTGTGCTTCAGATTTAGGCCAAATGGGAGTACCATTTGAGAAAAATACTCAGCTTCTAACCACATATGAACCTTTTCTTTCATATTGCTTGCATTCTGATTTTTAGTCAACTTGAAATGTGTGGTGGCACCACAATATAAGAGAAGAAGCCCCATGTCTGTAGTGAGAAAATCTAGATTCTAGACCTAGTTTTATCATTTATTAGCAGGGTGACTTTAGACAAGTCACTTCACTTCTATGGGACATCTGCAAAATAAGAAAGTTGTTGGAATATGATATTCCAGAGGACAAACAACCAGGAATCACCTACACAGCAAAACTGATTATAATCCTTCAGGGGGAAAAATGAATATTCAGTGAAATAGAAGATTTTCAAGCATTCTTGATGAAAAGACCAGCGCTGAATAGCAAATTTGACTTTCAAATACAAGACTCAAGAGAAGCATGGAAAAGTAAATAGGAAAGAGAAATCTTAAGGGACTTATTAAAGTTGAACTGTATGCATTCCTACATGGAAAGATGATATTTGTAACTCATGAGACCTTTGTCAGTGTTAGGGTAGTTGGAGGGAAAATATATATGGATGGATAAATAGATAGATAAGTATAGATAGGTAGACAGGCAGACAGACAGACAGATAGATAGATAGATAGATAGATAGATAGATAGATAGATAGATAGATAGATAGATGGCACAGGGTGAATTGAAGATGAAGGAGTGATATCTAAAAATAAAATTACAGGTTGAGAGAAGATTATACTGGGAGAAAGAGAAAGGGAGAGATAGCATGGGGTAAATTATCTCACATAAAACAGACAAGAAAAAGCTTTTACAGTGGAGGGGAAGTGGGGGAAGGTAAGAGGGAATGAATGAATCATATTTTCATCAGATTTGGGTTAAGGAGGGAATAACATACACACTGAATTGGGTACGGAAATCTATCTTACCCTACAGGAAAACAAGGGGGAAGAGGATAAGAGAGGAAGAGATGACAGAAGAGAGGGCAGATTTGGGGAGGGGGTAATCAGAAGCAAACACCTTTGAGGAGGGACAGGGTCAAAGGAGAGAATAGAATAAATGAGGGTTTGGACAGGATGAAAGGGAAATACAGTTAGTTTTTTACAACATGGCTATCATGGAAGTGTTTTGCATGACTACACATGTATAACCTGTATCAAGTTGCCTGCCATCTCAATGAGGGTGAGTGGGGAGGGAGGAAGGGAGAGAATTTGGAACCCAAAGCTTTAAAAACAAATGTTAAAAATTGTTTTTTACGTGCAACTGGGAAATAAGATATACAGGCAATGGGATATAGAAATGTATCCTGCCCTACAGGAAAATTGAAGGGGAAGGTGATAAGAGAAGGGGGGGGGTGATAGAAGGGAGGGCAGATTAGGGGAAGGAGTATTTAGAATGCATGCTGTTTTGGGGTGGGGGAGAGGAGAGATGAGGAGAAAATTTGGAATTCAAAATCTTGCAGAAATGTTAAAAACTAAAAATTAATTAATTAATAAAAATAATTTTAAAAAAAGGTTTTAGATCTCTAAAATCTCTTCTACTTCTAAATCCATAACTTAATGACGAAGATTAATTTCATCCACATTTAAGTTTTTGGGCAATGAAATTAATTTCACTGAAAGGAAGTATTGGGTGGTGGGGAGGGGAGTAAAAAGATAGGAGAACCTTGGTTCAAAGACTGCCTCTGCCATGTATTACCTTGGTCATCATAGATGACTCACTTAAATTCTTTAGGCCTCAGTTACTCATCTGTGAAATACAGATACTAAATCTCCCCTAAGGTCTTTTCAAATTGCAAATGTATGATTCTATCCTTGTTATTGTTATCTTTTCATTGCAGTGTTTGCTAAATATTATTTTGCTAACAAAGAAAGTAGCATTTCAAGCAGATACTTGTCAAATCAGAAATAAGTTAAATCAGGAAGATAATGTCAACCATGAATTTTTTTTTTTAAGTTTTGTCCCATGAAAGGAAATTGTCTTACTCTCTCTGAGGTAGTGAAGATGGGATAGAAGGATATCAGCATTATAACTTGGAGTGAGTCTTTGGAAATCATCTTTGGTCATCTTACACAAATCCTTCCCATCTATGTTCTGGAACAGCAAGATGTCAACATCTGGAAGACCATATTCTTTGACCGCCCATTCTAGCCATTGCCGGACGTGGTCTGTGCTCCATAATGTAGGATCTGAAAGGTTCAGCAAAGCAAATATTACGAACTGATAGTTATTTGAACTTAAGCCCTAGGCCTTCCTCCCAGTATATTTCTGGCTAGTTCTCCCCACTGCACATCTTGGGAAGGCCTGAAGGAAGAATATTAACTTTAAGTAAAATAAAAGCTATCATTAAGAAGTCAGAAGTTGCAATATATAAACTATTTGCAGGTTTTGAATTGTTCATATAACTACTCTACACCACTGCTGTAGGTAACTGAAACTTTATGACAGAGATATAATTTCAGTGATTTAAACAATTAGTAGCATAAATACACAACATCTTTTGCTAAACTTATTAATAAATTTATGTAAAAACCCACTGTGAAAATAAGGGTAACCACACAGATCCTAAAGTCTTCAATAGCAGAACAAAACAAACAAAAACACTGCAAGTCTCAAGTACATAAAAGATTGTTAATGCTTACCAACAGAATTCAAGTGGAAGTAGAAGAACACAAAAGCTTTGAACTATGCTTTGGAATACAAGATTTGGTCTAGTTATATGGCTTTAGTGGTTTTTTTTTTTTGGGGGGATAACGAGGAAGTTGTTGTTGTTTTGAGTTTTCTTGGGAGAGGATGGAGTAGAGTTCCTTATTTTGCAGACCTGAGCCTGAAGAATCGAGGTTGCTAGGAGGTACTTCCACATTCTCCAATTATAGAACACATGTCCAAGACTATTGAAAGCATTTTATAGGATGCAAGCAATATGGCCATATTCCATTGCCATACCAGGCAAGCTAACTCCTACTCATCAAAGTGAGGAAAGAATAAGATAATTTGCCTGGAAAAAAGGATGCCTCTATTTAAATATAAACAGTGAAGCATTAATTTTAGACAAAACATGAACTTCATTAGACAATAGATTTAGAGTTGGAAAGAACTTTCAACTCCCTCATTTTACAGAGGAGGAAATTGAGGTCCAGAGAGGTGAAGTGACTTGCCCAGGGTCACATAGCTGGTTATATAGTTGAGCCAGCATTTAAACCCCCATTTAAGTGACTCCAAGTCTAGTGCTTAGGCCACTATACCATGCTGCCTTTTACTATATCACTTTCAGAAGAGCTATTTCCTCAAGGTGACACCTAAGATTGCCACTAACTTTCAATCAGTAACGAACTTGCTGAAACCTGAATGAGGAGTCAGGAGATCCCACTTCTGCTACTATGTGATCTTGGGCAATTCACTTACCTATATCTCAGAGTACTCAGTAGTAAAATTGAGATAGTTAGATAAGACCATCTCTAAACTCTTTTCTTGGTACAACTTTCTATGATCTTGATGAGGAATCAAGGTTATGGTATACATATGCCATATCTATCTATCTATCCATCTATCTATCTATCTATCTATCTATCTATCTATCTGTCTGTCTGTCTGTATATATGTGTGTCTGTCTGTATATGTACATATGCACATACAAGCACACCTTCTGAATATTCCATACCTTCTCCACACCTTTCTTAGCTGTGGACTTTGCCTCTTACTTTACCAGAAAAAAAATCTAGGTTATTTGAGTGAGTGCCCTCTCTTTATCTCAAAGCCTCTTGAAATCTTTACCCATTTTGTGCCCTTTCCCTTTATCAAAGAGGCTGCCTTTCTTGCCAAGGCCAACTCCTCTATATATATGCACTTGATCTCATCCCTTTCCCATTTTCTCTGAAATATCATATCTTTAATTATCCCCCCACCTCATGAATGTTTAACCTCTCCTTAGCAACTGATGTCTTTCCTACTGCAGTAAAACATGACTTAGTCCCTATCCTAAAAAATTTTTAAAGCCTTTCAGCAGATGCTATCACTACCTCAAGCTATTATCCTTTATCTCCGCTATTTTCTTAGCCAAACTCCATGATGAAGTTGCTTATACTTGCTACCTCTATTTCTTCCTCTCACTCATTCCTCAAACCTTTGCAATCTAGCTTTTGAGCTCACCACTCCACTAAAACCTTTCTCCTCTAAATTATCAGTAATTTCTTAATTGCTAAATCTGATGATCTCCTATAAGTCCTTATCATTCTTGATCTATATGCTGCAGTTGAAATTATTAGCCACTTCTCTCTTCTTGGATACTCTCTTCTTTAGGTGTTCGTGACATTACTATCTAGTATTTTTTCTCTCTTCTGCCTGACTGCTCCTTCCTAGTAACCTTTACTTCCTCATCATCCATAACATGGACATTAACTGTTAGTGTTCCCTAGGGTTCTATCATAGGTCCCATGTATATATATATTTTTTAGTAACAGTCATTTGCATATTATATCCCTCATTAGACTATGAATATCTTGCTGTTTTTTCCCCTTTCTTTGTATCCCCCATGCTTAGCACAGTACCTGGCACATAATAAGTGCTTAATAAATATTTTATGCCTCACTTTATATGAATAATCAGAAGGTCACTGAACAGAGTTATTAGATTGTGAATTAGATTGTCTCCCAATTTACTAATTGTAAAATTTTGTCTTTCAGGTAAGCAAATTGCCCTTAGCAATAAAAGAAAAAAAATAAAAAGCACCACATCAAAATCTTGCTTAAGTGTTTCTTATTATTTCTTATTTGCCAGACATTAGCCAATCACAATCTACTATGAAAGACACAAGTACATCTGTGCAAATTAGATCTATATTTTCAATTAATGATGCTGATAAAAAAAAATTTGGACATATACAATATAGAAAATATGTTTGAAATAAACTAGCCACTGTGAATTTATACTTATTACACATCACAAATCCACATTAATAATCAGTCACATTTCATAACCATTAACTCTTTCTCCATTTCTGTTTCCAGTATTCCAATACTACAGATCTGACTTTTTTTTTATTAGCTTCAACTTTTATCAATTAATTAGCTACCTGATAAGTACTATTTGAGTACCTACTATGTATAAGGTATAGATACTCTCACAGATATACGGGATAGTAAAAGCACCTACCTCCCAGGGCTGTTGCAAGGATCTAATGAGATAATATTTGTAAAGCACTTAGCACAGTGCCTGGCACATAGTAGGTGCTAAATAAATACTAGCTTTCATTATTATTATTAGCATAGTACTTTGTACACAGTCATCATTTAAACTCTTTACTCATTTACAATAAGTTGAACTCAGAATTGAACATGAAGAAAACTTGCAGTGTTTCTACTTTTCCTTAACACAAAAATCCATCTTTCTCATACCACTGTTCTCCAAAAATGTTATATTGCATCCTAGGGTATTGCAATTTCCTGAGAGAATAAAAATTGTGGTAACCCTAAGTGAAATAGAAAGATGAAGGCTAGACATAAGTTATGGCATATTTTCAAAGATGAATTCCATGCAAAAAAAAGGCATAAGGATTATCATTTAGGAAATGGGCAGGTCTCACAGTATTGTGAAGGATAACAGATGGACAGATTAAGTCTTTTACCTGTAGAGCTAGAAGAAGTCTCCCATCACATTAAATGTGTCCTCTGTAGACAATATGTACTTATAATAACATATACAGGAATTACATAGGATGAAAAAACAGATGTGTCAATGAGATCCCACACCTCTTTAAATATTGAATTATTCCCAGTTACCTATATATTGATATAATTCTCTTTCTCCAAAAAAGGGACAGTAGAAGACCTCAGGTTTTTGCTTCCCATATTCTAGAGAATAAGAGATAATTATCTAATGGAACAACCTGGAATATTAGGAGATATCAATAAGTGCTACTCAACTGCTATATGCATTAGAATGTGCTGAATGGGACATACCAATCACCATTGTAACCTTAAGTGAAAGAAAGTCTTTTTTAAGAACGGATCTTTTAGTTTGTATTAGGGCTGGTCCAAAAGGAAGCCTCTTCTTCAGAACACTTCTCTTGGTGAAGAGTTGGCAAAGCTATACTTCCACTGATCAATTTCCACAGCAAGTAAGATCATCTTGAGAACTAGCATGACTGCATGCAAATGACTGGGCATTCTCTAAAATGTTTAGCAGTGATTCCCAAATCCCTACTTTGACAGCATTCAGTGCTACTTTAAAAATCAGCACCAAAGTACTAAAAGCACTAAAAAAAATGCTAAAAGATATCTAGATAAGTCATTGGCTGCTTGGGTTGAGAAGAGAACAAGGAAAGAACAAAGGTTAGAATTAAAATGAGTATGTTCCAATAAAGCACTGTCAAGGTTGAAAAAAATATTCAAATTGTTTTTTAGAAATATCAAATTTTTGAGGGTGAGGGAGTTTCAGTGAAACTGTGTAAGTCACTTTTGAATAATGTGAGAAAAATATTTCACTCAAGAAAAAGTATGTGCTTTCAGTGTATACTTCAATATAAGTTTCATGTGCTTTCATTTAATTGAAGAAAGGCTAAAGAACTAACATTCCAACTTGATAGTGCAATGTTCTTCTGATTTGAAGGGTGACAGTACATAATTTTGGTAGCTGTGGAATGTTTTAAGTCTACCATAGAGCTTGAGAAGTGGAATGCTTTAAACAAGACTTCCCCTAACACCCTGGCTTCACGGGGAAAGCCATCTTAGCTTAGTAAAGGAGCAGCTGGCTTCCTGGGCACCTACTCCACCACAACTAAACAGACTTTCCTCATTTTCCCTTTCCTCATTTTTCCTTTTTTAAATACTACAGTCTCAAAGAGAATTCAAGAGCACTGGCTTTAAAGTCAAAGGGCCCAGGTTCAAATCCAACCTTTGATGCTTACCACATGTGTAACCTTGGGCAAGACCCAACTCCCTTGTCTCATTTTCCTTATCTACAAAACGGGTGGTGGAGAGAGCCCTTCTACGTCTGGATCTGCGAGTCTATGATTTCTCAAGGTACCTCTCATTGCTTTGACTTCACACGGGATTTAATTTCAGTGTTAGGAATGTGTGTTTCTTTTTAAGCAGCAATGAAAATCAAAAGTTTTTTTTTTCAGAAAGGTCATTATAATAAAGATGACAGTAACAATAATAGTAGTTGCTGTAGGGTTATGTTTACAGCTTAA